CCAAAAAGATTAAACTCAACACATATATTGATAATTTAACTATTTCCCTATTGTTAAGCTATAAGGTACAAAATTGCTGAGAAAAAAAATAAAAGGGTATACAATGAATAGCCTTCCCCCCATTCCTGCCCCTGATTCATCCAGTTCTTGTTCTCTAGGGGCAACTACTGTTATGAGGTTCTTATGTGTCCCTCCAGTGATATTCTGGGCATGGTGTATGTATATATTTTTCTTCAAATTTTACCCTGTTATATATAACACTAGAAGCCCTGATGGTGCAGTGGTTAAGCACTTGGCTGCTAACTGAAAATTAGCAGTTAGAACCTATCAGCTGCTCTCTGGAAGAAATATGAGGCAGTCTGCATCCATAAAGATTTACAGTAAACCCTATGAGGCAGTTCTACCCTCTAAGGTAGCTGAGTCAGAATAGACTTGATGACAACGGGTACATATAACACTGCTATAAACAAATAGAAAAAATATTTAGTAATATGTTGTGATTCCCAAGGATACTTTTATGATTCCTAATAGTTACATATATAAATATGTGTATATATAATTTTTACACAATAACAAATATGAATGTGGTTTTAAATAGCTTTATAGTGTCAGCAATGGCTCATCATACATTCTTATGATAAATGGCATGCATTTTCAATGCAAAAAAGAGGCAAGGGATTCAGTCTGTTGACTTCTAACAGAGCTATGCTAAATCATTTGCTTGTGGACTGAATATCTGAACCTATTCCCATCAGCTACATTACAGCATAACGTTGCTGTTAGCTGCCATCAAGTCAGCTCCAATTCATGGCGACCCTATGTACAACAGAAGGAAACATTGCCTGGTCCTGCCAGCTTCACAATACTTGCCGTAATTGAGCCCACTGTTGCTACCACTGTGACAATCCATCTTGTTGAGGGCCTTCTCCTTTTTCATTGACCCTCCACGTTACCAAGCATGATATCCTTCTCCAGGGAGTGATCCCTTCTAACCACATGACCAAAGTAGGTGAGACAAAGTTTGGTCGTTCTTGCTTCTAAGGAGCATTCTGGCTGCATTTCTTCCAGGATAGACTTGCTAGTTCTTCTGGCAGTCTAAGGTACTTTCAGTATTCTTTGCCAACACCACAACTCTAAAGCATCAACTCTTTTTCAGTCTTCCTTATTCATTGTCCAGCTTTTACATCCATATGAGGTGACAGAAAATACCATGGCTTAGGTGAGGTGCACCTTAGTTTTCAAAGAGACATCTTTGCTCTTCAGCACTTTAAAGAGGTCTTTTGCAACACATTTGCCCAGTATAATACATCGTCTGATTTCTTGACTGCTGCTTCCATGGGTGTTGACTATGGATCCAAGTAATATGAAATCTTTGAAAACTTCAATCTTTTCTCAATTTATTGAGATACTGCATACTGGTCCAGTTGTGGTTCAAACCCACCAGCCACTTCTGGGAAGGAAGACTGGGCAATCTACTTACGTAGTGATACTGCCTTGGAAACCCAAAGAGGGGTTGCTATGAGTTGGATCCAACTCGACAGTGAGTTTGGTTTTTTGGAGTTTATACTGAGGTGTAATCCATACTGCAGACTGTAGTCTTTAATCTTCATCAGTAAGTGCAAGTCATCTTCACTTTCAGCAAGCAAGGCTGTGTTGTCTGCATATTGCAGGTTGTTAATGAATCTTACTCTAATCCTGATGCCACATTCTTCTTCATATAGTCCAGCTTCTCGGATTATGTGCTCAGCATACAGATTGAATAAGTATGGCGAAAGAATACAACGCTGACACACTCCCTTCTTGATTTTACACCATGCAGTATCCCCTTGTTCTGTTTGAACAACAGCCTCCCGTTCTATGTATAGGTTCCTCATGAGCACAATTAAGTGTTCTGGAATTCCCATTCTTCTCAATGTTATCTATAATTTGTTATGATCCACACAATCAAATGCTTTTGCATAGTCAATAAAACACAAGTAAACATATTTCTGGTATTCTCTGCTTTCAGCCAATTTCCATCTGACATCAGCAACGATATCCCTCATTCCACGTCTTCTTCTGAAACCAGCTTGCATTTCTGGAAGTTTCCAGTCAATATACTGCTGCAACTGTTTTTGAATTATCTTCAGCAAGATTTTACTTGCATGTGATATTAATGATAATGTTTGATAATTTCCACATTCTGTGGAGTCACCTTTCTTTGGAATGGGTACAAACATGGATCTCTTCTAGTCAGTTGGCCAGGTAGCTATCTTCCAAATCTCTTGGTATAGACGAGTGATTGTCTTAAGTGCAACATCCATTTATTGAAACATCTCAATGAGTATTCCTTCAATTCCTGGAGCCTTGTTCTTCCTTAATTCCTTCAGTGTAGCTTCTACTCTTCCTTCAATACCACTGGTTCTTGATCATATGCCACCTCCTGAGATGGATGAACATCAACCAGTTCTTTTTGGTAGAGTGACTCTGTGTATTCCTTCCATCTTCTTTTGATGTTTACTGAATCATTCAATTATTTTGCCCATAGAATCTTTCAACATTGCAACTCAAGGCTTAAATTTCCTCTTCAGTTCTTTCAGCTTGAGAAATGCTGAGCGTGTTCTTTCCTTTTGGTTTTCTAACTCCAGGTCTTCGCACATTTCATTATAATAATTGATTTTGTTGCCTCAAGCTGCTGTTTGAAATCTTCTGTCAGTTCATCCATTTGCTTTAGCTATTCTCTGTTCAAATTTCAGAACAAGGGCAAATTTCAGAGTCTCTTCTGACATCCATTTTGGTCTTTTCTTCCTTTCCTGTCTTTTTAATGACCTTCTGCTTTCTTCATGGATAATGTTCTTAATGTCATCCCACAGTTCCTCTGGTTTTCAGCCATTGGTGTTCAATGCATCAAATTTATTCTTTAGATGGTCTTTAAATTCAGGAGCGATATAATCAAGGTTAGGAGCTCTGGTAGTGTAGTGCTTAAGGCACTTGACTGCTAACCAGAAGGCTAGCGGTTCAAACCTACCAGCCCCTCTTTGGAAGGAAGGTTGGGCATCTAATTCCATAGTGATACTGCTCAGAAACCCAAGGAGGGGTCACTATGAATCAGGTCCGACTCAATGGCACATAACAACAACAACAACAACATAATCAATTTCATATTTTGGCTTTTGTGGACTTGTTTTAATTCTGAGCTTCAACTTGAACTTGCATATCAGCAGTTAGTTGATGGTCTGTCTGTTCTATAATCAGCTCCTGGCCTTGTTTTGGCTGAAGATATTGAGCTTCTCCTGCCACAGATGTAGTCAATCTGATTCCTGTGTAGTCCATCTGGTGAAGTCCACATGTATAGCCACCATTTTTATTGCTAAAAAAAAAGGTATTTGCAATGAATAAGTCATTGGTCTTGCAAAATTCTATCATGTGCACTCCAGTGTCATTCTATCACCAAGGCCGTATTTTCCAACTACCAGTGTTCTTTGTTTCCAACTTTTGCATTCCAATCACCAGTAATAATCAACACATCTTGATTGCATGTTTGGTCAATTTCAGATTCTAGAAGTTGGTAAAAAAATCTTTAATTTCCTCATCTTTGGCTTTTGTGATTAGTGCGTAAATCTGAGTAACAGTAGTATTAACCAGTCTTCCTTGGAGGCGTATGGATATTATCCTATCACTGACAGCACTGTACTTCAGTATAGATAGTGAAACATTCTTTGTGATGATAAAGGCCACACTATTCCTCTTTGTCATTCCCAGCATATATCATATAGTTGTCTGATTCAAAATGGCCCAAACCAATCCATTTTATCTCACTAATGCCTAGTGTAGTAGTTATGTTTGTGTGTCAACTTGGCTGGGCCTGGTTGAGTGACTGGGCAGCTGGTGGTAGTTATTCCCTTTGATGAGACTGGAAATCAACTCCATGGTGGGACCTACCACAAGCAGCTGAGTAGCTGCTGCCTTTGGGATGTGGTCTGCTTCCTGTATACGAGAAGTTTTGAGAATGGTCTCTAGCCTATGGTACGCTTGGACCCTGCATGTAGCTGTGTCGTTGCTGAGCAGCCTGCTATGCTCTGCTGACCTCGGGACTTACAATGGACTTAATTAAGTCAACAGCCTGCCAAGTGGTAGCATAGGGACTGTGCCTTTTTATTTGTCAACCTTGGGGTTTCTCAGCCTCAGCAGTCAGCAGCTGTCTGAGTGAAGAAAAGTCTCTAGCTCCAGTGGGCCGGGAGCAGGAGGCAGAGCTGAACCCCAAGGTTGAGGGGCTTTCACCCAGCCCCTAGAGCCTGGCACTTTGAACTTGGACTTAAATCCTCCAAATTGTAAGAATAAACTCCTGTTTGTTAAGGCTATCCCATTTGTGGTGTATTCCTGTCAGAGCGGCACTAGGTACCAGAACACCTAGGATATTGATCTTTATGCGTTCCATTTCATTTTTGACAACTTCCAATTTTCCTAGATTTATACTTCGTACATTTTATGTTACAATTATTAATGGATGTTTGCAGCTGTTTCTTCTCATTTTGAGATGTTATTATTAAAATGCTACTACTGATGAAAATATAAAGTTACATCTATTCATAAAATGGCTAAAGTTTTTCATTCAATGAATAAAATGTTTTTAACATTAAGTCTGAAGATATTAATTCAAGTTTTCATATGCCTCCAATTATCACTATCTTCTGCATTCTTTACTAATGAGAACATGAGGAAATTAATTAAAACCTGAAAGAAGTATTTCTGGAGAAATTGAAAAAAAAATAGCATGTCAGAGTTCACAAGGAATTATTACAAGCACAAGAAATTCATTCAATATTTGCCTGAAATTAAATATGTGCAGACTTCAAATATTAACTTTAAGTCATAAGATGGGAAAATTCAAACTTTGGGGGGGTTCATTTCTCATAAATCTTATATCATGGGGTAGGTGATAGGTGAGAGAGGACACAAAATACTGTTAATACAGTGTTTGGAAAGAGGTTGTAGTCCCCATGCCTTTTCCCACTAATAAAAATAAGTAGCTTCTGGAGAAGGGGGAAAGGCAGAGAAGGAGGTAGGCAGGGCAACCAATTTAAGGACCTAGTAAATAATGCCTCTGAGATTTATTATAGATCCTGACAAACTTGGTGAGAACATCTGCAAAAAATGAGAATGTGTAACAAACCAATACTATTTTTAAATGATAGTAACAAAATAGTAAGTAATTTTTCTCTAATAATATCTGCCAAACAAAATAGGATTCTCAAATCTTCTTGGATAAAGAAAATACACACAGATAAGCAGAATAAATGTATAATGGTATCTAACTACACAGACAATTCTATTCTTTAAATTTTTACTTGTTGTTATATTGTAAGTATCTTACATTATTATGAATGCTTTATAAACATCTTGAATGATTTCATAATGTCAAGTTTTGTGGTCATTCCACAATTTCCCTTCTTATTCGACTTATCATTTAGGTTATTTATAATATTAATTAAACTACAACAATAGAAATGATCATAAACTTCTACTCATAGTCCAAAATATTTACACAGAATTTCTCAGAGGCAGAATTACTGGATCAAAAGATATGATCATCTTTAAGGTTCCCAATACATCCATCAAACTGCTTTTAAAAAGTTGTAACAATTTTTATACCCACCAATGACATAGTAGAATGCCCATTTCACTAAACTCTTGTCAATACAGACTACTGTAATCTTAAAACCAGTATTATGTGGAAAAAAAAGTCTCATTATTGTTTTAATTCAAACACTTCATAAAAGGTTAATATTCTTTATAGTTTTTATTTTCTCTTGAGTCCCTGGGTGGCACAAACAGTTAAGCACTTAACTGTTGGAAGCCTGGCAGTATGAATCCACCCAGCGGTGACTTGGAAGACAGCCTTGGAGATCTGCTTCCAAAAGTACACAGACCTGAAAACTATACAACAGTTCTACTCTGCGCACTGGGGTTGCCATGAGTCAGAATCAATTTCACAGCAACCAACACCAACACCAACAAATTTTCTCTTGAGAATTGTAAGAATCCTTTATTATTGTCAGTTTTCTTCTGAAAAGGAAAGAAATCCTCTGGGGGGAAATGACCAAAATCAAAAAATCAAACCCACTGGCATTGAGTTGATTCTGACTCATAGAGATTCCCATTGGGTTTTTAAGGCTGTAAATCTTTATGGAAGTACATTGCCTCAGCTTCCTCCAAGGAACAGCTGGATCCAAAAGGAGGCACAAATCTGAGTGATGGATACTTGGGGGTTAACTTACTATCTTCTCTATTTATTATTCAATATTTAAATAACAAAAGTTTAAAGATTATCTTAAGAAAAATGGCTTTAAGTTTTGTACATAAAAGCAAAAGTAGTTCAAGATTTTATTTTCTAATGTATAATGAACAGTTTCTTTATTGAAGGTTAAATCTTCAGTACTATGTGCTTACTTAATGTTAGTATTTAAACCACCTCCAGCCAGGCTCTGAAGTTGACACTTCCCTCAGGTGAATGGGGAAGGCAATTCACACATTTGCAGGCTTGTTGCCATATTACCAACTGTGTGAGGATAATTTTGTACTTTGTGCTTTAACAAGAAAGTAGTTTTCTACATATTTTATGGAAAAAGAGCAGAACTTAGATAAAAGACAGAATGAAACACCAAGAAATGAAGAAGACCTCATACCTTTCTGAAACTTACTGAAGTTCTTATTTTGTTTTATTATACTTTAGATCTTATATTTAAATATATAAAATGATAGTTTTCCTAGGAAAACCCCAAATGTATTATTTAATTCTAGAGTCACTAAATGACAAAACTAGAAAGTGATATGCAAGCAGTTGTGTTAAGGAAGTGGGATCGCAGGCAATTTTTATTTCCAAATTTCTTTAATAGTGTCATAACTTTCAAAACAAAAAGTTACCTTGAATTATCAAATGTTATTACATATATTTTTAGAACAATATTAAAAAAAAAGTACAGACAAGAGAACAGAATTAGCAAAGGCTTAAGAAAAAAAAGTACATTTGTCTTTATGCTAGAATTCCCAACACTAAAAAAACCCACTGCCATCTAGTCAATTCCGACTCAGAGGCACCTCCACTGGGTTTCTAAGGTGATAAATCTTTACGGAAGTAGATTGCCACATCTTCCTTCTGCAGAGTGGCTGGTGGATTTGAACTGCCAACCTTCTGGTTAGTAGTCAAATGCCTTAGGCACTGTGCCACCAGAGCTCCTTTTAAGTACCTCAAATCAAATAGCAATCATTTCCTCATCTTTAAGCATGAAGCTATTTTATCAAGACAGTACTATGAGTTGATGAAGACCTTACTAATTAGAAAAGTTTCTTCCTTACCTTACACATGCCATAATCAGTGAGTTTAATGTGTCCTTCAGAGTCCAGTAACACATTGTCCAATTTCAAATCTCTATAAATTATCCCTCGCTCATGAAGATAATTTAATGCTAGACTGATTTCTGCAGAATAAAATCTAAAATAATAAAAAAAGAAGATATCACTTGATTCAAACATTTCAATTGTGGGGAATTGTTAGAGGAAGGAATTTAAGTCCTACTTCCACCTGCAAAGAGAAAGATAAAAATCACATTGAAAGTTTTTTTTCCCCCTTTCATTGTCTTTAGGATCTAATACCAAAAACACATTGAAGTACCATGTTAAAACATATGGACCTAAGACACAATTACAAAAGTTCCAGTCTATCAGGGACATATTTTTCATAAAGTTAACAATTTGACAATTTGAACCAGGGGTTTTTAATCTCTGGATCCTTGGATGGATGTTAGCCAGTCCATATTCCTCCTACAAATGTAAGTCATATGCACATTTTCTAGAAAATTTCCACAGCTTTCAATGCTTCTATAAGGGACCAATGACTTCCCAAAAGGCTAAGAAACAACTGATTGATCTAAAATGGAAAGTTCACTAAACGTTGACTAATCAAAGCAGAAAAGCCATACAAGATATTAGAAAAGGAATTAAAATAAACTATTCATAAAATTTAATATTAAAGAAAGCACTTTTTAAAACTACCACCACCTCACTGGCAATAACCAGAAAATTTAGCCTACATAATACAAATGAAACTAAACAAAATTATAAAGAATGCTAACCCTGTTACAAGGAGCTCTGGTGGCATAGTGCCTAAGGCACTTGACTGCTAACCAGAAGGCTGGCAGTTCAAACCCACCAGCCACTCCTCGGAAGACTGGGCAATCTACTTCTGTGGTGATACCGCCTCGGAACCCAAGGAGGGGTCACTATGAGTCAAATTGACTTGACAGCAGTGAGTTCCGCGTTTTTTGGTTTTAACCCTGTTACAAAGTATACAGATTATAACAATAATGAGCCTTTTTCTTTTTTTTGTAGTTTATGGCCATTTTGGTGGCATGTTATCATGACCATGATTGGAGGTACATATGCACATCTTCTAGCTGCTTAATTCTATGATCAGGGAGCCTGAGCTCTTACTCTGTGCTTTGGTTCCTAGAAAAGCAAAGATGGTATAAAAATCAGGATTAGCATTTTTGATATAATACCCCAAGCCTTATTAAACAAACTAGGAACAAAAACTAGCTATGCTTATAATTCAAAATATGTGTGGCTCTACTATGAAGGTTGACCATTTGATAAATAAACAATGAATATAAACAAACAGAAAATTTCAAAAGAAAACGTTTGGGCTTACTACTAGATCGTTGTTGTTAGGTGCCATTGTATTGGCTCCAACTCACAGCGACCCCTGTACAACAGAACAAAACACTGGCCAGTCCTGCACCAGCCTCACAATCCCTGCTAGATTAGTATGGTTTATACATTTTTATAAAATTCAAGGGTATTATCACTTTTTGACAAGAAATAATGAATTAGAGATATTTCTATTAAATACATTAATTTTTAAAATGAAATCTCTAACCTATGCTCTCCTTTTAACAATTACATGCTTACAGAAATTCACGTTTCATTTTGGCATTACTCTTATGAAGCTGGAAAGGGTAACAACTGTTGCTAATTATAAGTAAAAAAAAAAACACAAAAAACCAACTACCACCAATAAACCCCACAAAAACATGGCACTGATGGATTAAACTATTAAAATCATAGTCAATCAATACAAGTTTTTCACGATTCCTCCCCACCTAACTTCTCCAACATACAATTCATAATCTTTCATAATAATATCAAATTAAGGGCATAAAATTGATATTTAACACTCTTTTCTCTTATTCATCAACATATATGGGACCAGAGGAAGTAAGTAATAAGGCAGAACAATTCAGAAATTAATATAGAGGAAAAACAGAATTATATAATAGTTTCAGAGAAATTATTTTATTACTCTCACATATATACAAACAACCTTCTAATGAAAAACTGTCAATTAGAGATCACTGCAAAGCCAGTAAGATTAATAAGAAGTATTTGTAAATTCATCAGTTATGTAAGTGACTGATGCTGAATGATTTTTAAGTAATTGTTGTAGTACACTGAAGATTTTCCTTTTAGTACTATCTATACGTCATTGCTTAAAAATTGGTTAGAATTTACTTTTAGTACTGCTTATACATAACTGCTTAGGAAGCACATAAGTATATGATATCATAAGCATATGACAGAATACATATAATGTAATATTGTAATAATGTATGTATTATAATGTAAACTAACTTTTTAGCTCAGTCTCCACTTGCAGGCATACCTCAGAGATATTGTGGGTTCAGTTCCAGACCACCACAACAAAGCAAATATCACAAGAAAGTAAGTCACATGAATTTTTTGGTTACTCAGTGCATATAAAAGTTATGTTTAAAATATACTGTAGCTATAAGTGTGCAACAGTTTGAAATATTGTGACAATTAGGAAAATGTGACACAGAGACAGGAAGTGAGCACTTACTATTGGAAAAATGGGAGTTATAGACTTGCCTGACACATGGCTGCCACAAACCTTCAATTTGTAAAAAATGCAGTATCTGCAAAGTGCCATAAAGTGAAGCAAAATAAAAGGAGGTATGCCGTACTTATAAAAAATTAACTAATATAAAAATAAATGAAGTATCTACTGTTTTCAACCACTGACACATCAAATGTCACTCCCTCACAAAAAATCCAACACAAACAAAGAAACAATAAACAAAAAACTTACCTGGCATGTTCTTCAGGAAGTTTTCTTTGCCGCTGCATATGAAACATTAGATCTCCTCCATTTACATATTCTATAACAAAGAACAACCTAAACCACAGGAGAGAATCAATGAAACCAAATAAGGTAATGTAACTTTGCATGTTAAACACTACAGAAATCAGTCACAACCAACGTAGCATTTTACACCATTTACCCTTCACAAAGATGGCAGGAATCTGTGGTAGAAGCAAAGGGTACCAAGAATACAAAGTTGTTTAATCACAACAGATATGATGATGATTTTATAACTTCTACTTTTACACTAAAGTTGTACCACTTGTGATCCACAACCACTTACTCCCACCCAAATTTTAGAATTTAGTAGGTAATTTTCAACTTAAGATAAAAAAGTTGATCTCCTTCTCCTCCCTACTCCAGTTAAACCCTAGAGAAACCATAAATCCTAAAAGTAGAATCCTGGGCTTATTAAAAAAAAAAAGTTAGATTTCTACTGTTGTAATTATGACCTAACCTTTTTTTTCTTTCCCTGTCTAAAGCAAGTGATTTCCTAATGCTGATCCACTTTCAAATTGCTTTCACTGATTGGAATATGAGTTGTGTGAAGTTACAAGCACAGTACTGTTAGGTCCTTCTCCATGACTTCTACTCCATGAATCATAGTAGATAGGGTTCTTTTAGTGTTATATACAAATGTACAAAGCCCAGTAATTATTCCATTATCTTTCAATCTTACCTGCTTTCTGTCTGAAAGCATGAATGTAGCCCAACAAGAAAAGGATGATTGGATGCCTGCTCAAAAACATGCTTCTCTGTCTGCACCCAATCAATATCCTATTTAAAATATAAAAGAAATATGTTATGTCAAACTGAACCTGCATCATCAAATCTAATAATAAGTGTGTTCCAAGCAACTGAATTATCACAAATATAATTATTACCAACAAGGCTAATATCAAAATCATTGATAATCATAACATAACAACTTATACATAAAGAGAAAAACACCACTAGTGAATCTTTCAATAAAATGAAAATATGTAGAAAACTTTTATAAAGAGCAAGTACTTTTCCCTGGTATGGTTTGATTTTCATTTTTAAAAAATCTAATAATAGATTAAATATCTCTTATATAATCTGTTTTGAAGGATATATTTAGAAAAGTAGACTGAAATAATAAAGCATGAACATTAAGGTTATACAGAGTTAGAAGTAGTAACATATCACTAAGCTTACCTCATCATCATTGACAAGCTCTTTTTTCACAACTTTCATGGCATAAATACGATCTGTTTTTTTTAATCGAACCAGTAGTACTTTGGCATAACTTCCTCTTCCTATTACCCTGAGCAAATCAAAATCCTGAAGTCCTAAACTAGACGAAGCTTTGCCACTTTCCCTGGTGTTCATTGCCTGTTGGGAACATTTATACCAAATGGTTATATGTGAAATATTCAGCATAATACATTGTATTTCTAACACAGTTATACCTATAACTTAAAAATATTTTCTAATTTAAGTTCTTAATAATTCTTTTCTAACATAATTTGAGACTATAATCTAACTACCTAAGTGGGAGGATGAGTTCGTGAGTTGAGGTCTGAGCAGTGTTGATGGGAATTGAAATCTGAGAAATATTACAGATATCTTCAAAAAGGAGCTGGTAACTTTTGGTATCAGGGTAATGAAAATGCATGAATAAAAAATGACACAAATTGGTGACTGGGAGATTGGAGTTACCACTGATAGGGAAAATAAAGTGTGGGGAAAAGATAAGATTGACAGAGATGGAGGAGAGAATCCAAGATGGTGGAGTAGGCAGCTATACTACTCAGATCCTCTGCAATAAAGACTTGAGAAACCAAGCGAAATGGATATTTATGACATTCATGGAACCTAGAGTTTCAAAGGAAAGGATAAAGTAGTAGATGAAATACCAGTAAGAGGAAGAGACTGAGTGAAAACAGCAAACCAAAGAGCCATACAGAGTAGTGAATTGCAAACTATTTTGAATTATTGAAAGCAGTATTCTGATCGGGGCAGGAACTAGGTAACTGGCTCCCTCACACAAGAATGCACTAACATCCACATCAGATCGAAGACCAGAGAGGTATGATCTCCTCCCCATAGCCCATACAACCTCCTGGTGACCTGAAGGGTGGCTCTGCCCACCTCAAGGCTGCTGGTGGTGTGCTACATTTTTTTTTTTTTTTTAATCTTTCTTTTTAGTTCTTCCCTCTCCACCTCCCCTTTTTCTCTTTTATTCAACCTTGCCCTTGCTGCCTTGCTAGTCAGCAGTGCCCACCACTGCCCCTCCCTGGTCAGTGGTGCATGTTCCCAGAGAGTGAATGCTGTGTTCCACTGCAACCATGTTTGCCAGGTAGTGCTTCTGCTAGCACTGTACTGCCATTGTTTTTTCTTTCTTAGTTCTTCTCTTTTACCATTGACCTCTGTTGTGATTTTTCTTCCCCTTTTCTTTTTTTTGATTGGGCAGAATGGCTGTCTGCCTCTTACTGCCTCCATGGTCAGCAATACACCACCCCCTCCACAGCGACAGTGGAGCTGCATGGAGCTCTCTACCCATAGAATGAACTCCACATTCCCGATGCAGCTGTGTTTGGCAGCAAATTTCTTCTCAGTTTTTCTTCTCTTTATTTTCTTCTCAGTTTTTCCATCCTCCCTGTCATTTGTTTTACTCTTTTATTTTTCCTCTCCACCCCCTTTTTTTTTGCCCTGCCCCTTGCCACCTCCACTTTCAGTAGCACTTATGCCCCTCCCTTGTGCATTTAGTAGCAAGTGTTCCTGTGGAGTGACTGCTACATTCCCGTTGCAGTTATCTTTGGCAGCTAGTGCTTACGCCACTACTGTGCTGCTTTTTTTCTTTATCTTTTTCTTCTTAGGTCTTCTTTTTCCCCTCCCCGTTTTATTCTTCTTTTTACCCCCTTTAGTTCTGGCAGTGTAGTGCCTAAGGCATTTGACTGCTAACCAGAAGGCTGTTGGTTCAAACCCACCAGCCACTCCTCTGAATGAAGGTTGGGCAATCTACTTCCATAGTGATACCACCTTGAAAACCCAAGGAGGGGTCGCTATTAGATCCAACTCAATGGCAATGAGTTTGATTTTTTTTTTTTTTGGTTTCTTCTTCCCCTCTCCCCTTTCTTTTTTTCCCTAGCAGTTTGGAACCAGTGATCCTATGCAGCCATACCCACCACACCTGTTGCCCTACCCACTGGACAAGTACCACCATCTACTCAAGCAAAACTGAATCAACAACAGATGGTGACAAAACTCCCCAGCCTGCCCTCAGCTGCACTACATGACCAGCAATCACAGAATAACACCCACAGTTCCCACCTGTTACCAAATCCATAGGAGACAGGTGGTGAGGACTCCAGCACTGTCAAGATAGCAACCAAAGTACTACAATCATCTCACTGCCAAGACATATTAAAATAAAATAAAACAAAAAAGCAGGGTAAAGCAACTTGTATTCTTGTATGAAAACATACAATCAATAACAACAACAACAAAAAAACTAATACCACAATGTCTCAGACAACACACAACTTCAAATAATACTCACAAAAAAGGACAAGATAGCTCAAGCAAATAACCAAAATACAGGCCAAGAAAATTTCCCAGAGGAAAAAATGCTACTGCAACTATATGATAAGGAATTCAAAAGAATTACTCTTAAGTCTCTACAACAGATTAAGAATAATTCAGGAAAACAAGAATAAATTGACAAAATGAATGATAAAATTAGAAACCATACAAAAACAGTAAACAGAAAAAAAAAAGAGACTGACTAAAATTTCAGAAATGGACAATGTAATGGAAGACAGAATTAGCAAAATTGAGGACAAATCTCTTAGTACTTATTTGTTAAAGGAATAATCAGGAAAAAAATGAAAAAAACAATTAAGAACATCTAAGAATTATGTGGGAAACCATCAAGAGGAATAACAAATTATTAAGAAGAAACAAAAAAAGCACAAAGAAAACTGTCACAAATATTTGTTGAAAGTAAACTTCTCCAGTGTCATGAAAGATGAGAAGCTATGCATTCAAGAAGCTCAACAAATACCAAATAGGCCTCAAATGAAAACCACCAAGATATATTGTAATCAAACTTTCCAAAACCAAAGTTAAAGGAAAAATCCTAAAAGCAGCTTGGAATGAATGGAAAGGTACCTACAAAGGAGAACCAGTAAGATTAAGATCTGATTTCTCAGCAGAAACCATGCCAGTGAGAAAGCAAAGCAGTGACATATATAAAGCCCTGAAAGAAAAAAAAAAAAAACACCAATAATCATACACCCAGAAAAACTGTCCATCAAATATGATGGTAAAATTACAACATTTCCAGATAAATAGAAATTAAGGTAATTTGTAAAAACCCGACCAAGCTTATAAGAAATGTTAAAAAGAATCCTCTGGGCAGAGACCCAACAAAGGCAGAGAACAATCTGAGATTAAGACACACAACAACATACCCAAAAATCAACCTTAGTATGGAAATATAAAATACACCTACAAAACTGAAAATAGGGAACCAGAAGTGTCAATGTATAAATGATGACAACTACAAAGCAGAAAAGAGCTTTGGTAGCATAGTGCCTAAGGCACTTGACTGCTAACCAGGAGGCTGGCAGTTCAAACCCACCAGCCACTCCTTGGAAGGCAGGTTGGGCTATCTATGATACTGCCTCAGAAACCCAAGGAGGGGTCGCTATGAATCGGGTCCAACTCGAGGGCACATAACAACAACAACAACAACACAATAAAATGGACTGCTTTAAACTTAGGAAGAATAAGATACAGAGTAACTCAAACAAAATTAACAAACTTTCTCATTAAAATAAAAAAGAAGAAACTCTAAAGACTCAGTAAACACTAAAATGACAGTAACAAAGGAAACTATAAGAAAATTCATAAAATGAATTCAGCACAGAAAAACATATGAAACAAAGAAATCAACAGCACCACAAATGTGCGTGCACACGCACACACACACAAACACAGCAAAATTACAATAGTAAATCCACACCTTGTTGTTGTTGTTATTTGCCGTCGAGTCGGCCCCGACTCATAGCGACCCCTCCTTGGGTTTCCGAGGCAGTATCACTACGGAAGTAGGACTGCCCAACCTTCCTTCCGAGGAGTGGCTATCAACAGTTATACTGAATGTAAACAGATACACCAGTAGTAGCAGAATGGATAAGAAAACATGATGCATCAATATGCTGTTTACAAGAGACAAACTACAAAGACAAAAATAAGCTAAAAATCAAAGAATAGGAAAACATAAATCAAGCAAATGGCAACCAAAAAAGAGCAGGCAATATTAATTTCTGATAAAATAGACATTAAGACCAGCAAAAGATACAAAGAAGGACATTATATAAAGGGCCAATCCAACAAGAGAACATAATCATAATAAATACCTATGTACCCAATCAAGAGCCCTAAAATACATGAATCAAAATTTAACAGAATTGAAAAGAGAAATACACAACCCTACAATAATAGTAGGAGACTTTAAAACACCACTTTCAATGAAGGATAGAACAACTAGAAAGAAACTCAATAAAGATAAAGAAGATTGAAACAACATAAACAACTAAACCTTAAAGATACATATAGAACACTCCACCCAACATCAGCAAAATATAAACTTTTTTCCAGTGCACATGGAACACTCCCCAGAATAGACCAAATGTTAGACCGTGAGCAGGCCTCAATAAATTTAAGATTAACAAAATACTACAAAGCATCTTCTCAGATCACAATGTTATAAAATTAAAAATCAACAACAGGCAGATCAAGAGAGGAAAAAAATCAAATACACAGAAATTTAATAATACCCTGCTTAAAAACTACTAATAGAAGAAATAAAAAAAAATTCCTTGAATCAAATGAGAATGAAAACAAAACATAAAAATCTTTGGGACACAGCAAAAGTAGTGCTCAGAAGACAATTTACTGCAATGAATGCATACATCAAAATAGAAGAGAGAAAACCAACACCTTATGTCCAACAATTAGAAAAAGAATAGCAAAAAAAAAAAAATAAAAAATAAAAAGCCTTCAGTCACTCAAAGAGAGGAAATAAAGATTCAAGCAGAAATAAATGAAACCAAAACCAGAATAAAATCAACAAGACTAGAAGTTGGTTTTTTTAAAAGGATTAATAAAATTGACAAATCACTAGCAAATCTAACAAAGGAAAAGATGGAGAAGATGCAAATAAGAAATAGGGGATGTCACAACAGAACAAACTGAAATAAAAGGATAATAACGGAATACTATGAAGAACTGTACTCCAACAAATTTGAAAACCTAGAAGAAATGGACAAATTTCTAGAAACACACTACCTACCCAAACTAATATAATCTGAGGCAGAAAATGT